ATGACCCTAATGACCCTAATGACCCTAATGACCCTAATGACCCTAATGACCCTAATGACCCTAATGACCCTAATGACCCTAATGACCCTAATGACGTGATTAATAAGAATATGAAGAAATACAGCATACATAGACTGGATTACATACTAGGGTATAGGGTGTTCTTCATCTTAAATAACCCAAGTCACTAATACTAGTACAGCAGAAGCATCAAGGGATCCTAGGGTCTTGACAAACACCCTGTAATCTTCCTATTAGCTATTAATAATAAATTTATACTAATCTAAGATCTCATATAGTGATTATGCTAACTATATTAATTAATAAAGTGATTTAATAGCTTGAAGATAATCTAATAAGTAAGAAGAGAAGTAAGATATGTCAGGTATAAAAACCTAAGTACTTAAATTAAGTATAGATAAGTAGAAACTAGACTAAATATATACTCAGACTTGAAACTGTTATTAAATATAACTAACTAAACTATAAATACATGATAAATAAGTGTTCTTATATATTCTTTATATTATATACTCCTTATTTACTCCTGGGAGTATATCTAGAGTAGAGACTAGTAACATACTTCCTTTTATAATTATTTTATAGCTACTTCTTAGAGTATATTAGGAGTAGATAGTTATATGACATATTCTCTTATAATACAGGAATCCTGATCCTATAATTTATTAATTAGCATCAGGCTTCTGCCTGGCTGTGCCGCCTTTGCGGGGTGTCGACCATGTTAGGTTTCCGTAACAAGTATCAAGACTTTTAATCAGGAATTTCATGCGATCTTAGCTTACCTAATCAGGAATTTCATGCGATCTTGGCTTACCTAATCAGGAATTTCATGAGATCTTGGCTTACCTGATTAGGAATTTCATGAGACAGCCCCTGTCTCCAACCTCTTGACTTTAACACACTCTTATAGCTGCCACAGTGCCTCTAAAATTCTAGAAAAATATGCATTATTCTCATGAGAGGCAGTACTATCTACTAATATTAAATTTAATCTATACCAAGTATTAGTAGATGTTATGTTTACCTGGAATATGCCTATTAGAAAATTATCTGGAATATTCCTATTAGAATCTCTTACTAATATTCAACTGCTACATCTTGTACATAATATAGTTATAGGCTTGTCAAATTTATGGCTATCAAGGGATGTGTGACAGGTATCTCGCTAGATATGTGTACAAACAATGATAGAGATTAAACAATCAACCAAACACTTCAAAAATAGAAAAGCAGTAGATAAAATGATAAAACATGACCAGCTTTATTCACTATTCAGTGGCAGCAATCTGGGTTGAAGTAGATGCTCCAATGAACATCAGAGGTCTCTTGCTGCCCAACAGGCTTCTGGCAGTTCATCATTCCTTTGGCACCGACAAGACCCTTCCACTCAAACCTATCGATGGCACCGTTGATGATATCCGTAATATCTAAGTTCCCGACTCGGGCACCATTGTCGATACCCATAGCACAGGTGCCATAGGTAACAAGGGTCTTGTGGTTCCCAGCACCGCTCCAATCCCAACTTCCACCGTCTTGAATGTTTTTAACAATCGTCCGGCAGTCGTCGACAGTGGGAGAGCCACCCGTGCTCGCATTTTCATAGCGGAAATCGGAGCAGTCTCTAACATCACCGTTGGGGTCTGCGGGAACAGGAGAAGCAGAGACCACGCCGGCCAGAAGGGCGATAACAGTCGGCAGTTGGATCCTCATCGTGATTCAGATGATTCGAGTTGTTTGACGGGAGGAGAATACCTCAAAGAGATTTATAGATGGTAGCTGGCTGTTGCTGTTGAGAGAGGCTTGGGAAATTTTGATGCTATATGTTAGATGACCGAGAGTTCGATGGCCTTTTATCTATTTCCCCGATGTACGCTAGAGTGTATTTTCAATTACATACTTGACACTCGTAAATTAATCGGGTTGTCTTTTTGGGGCAAGATCATAGTCTGAAACTTTTCCTGAAGCCTTTCCCAATGTTGCCGTGTTTTAGTGCCGCGGTAAGATCGCAAAATCTGCAGTGAGACTACCCACACCCATGGCTGTGTCTGCTGTTGGAAGTGTTCATGACTCTAGAAAGGAACAAGAAAAAAAAAACATACCATGCGGGGACCCCACGCCCAATCATCATAGACAGTGAGCCCTCAATCTCCATTTCGGCCCCCAACAAGAGTGGCAAGATCTTACAAGGATTCGACGATCATTATATATTAGGCTTAATATAGAATGCAGCCATAAGCACCCTGTTCCTGGCTCAAACCTTACAACAACCTTCCCAATAATACCAAATGCGGGGCTGTATGGAACCGATGAAATACTTCGGTCGTTGGTTTGTCGGCTGTACCCGAGCGACGGCCCAAGACAAGCAAGTGCTTATTTTGCTTGGTCTCAAGCCCCCTCCGCTTGACTCCAGATGCTAATGGTGGCTTGATAGTCATGCCTTTTGAATCCTTCGGCCTGGTACTATCAGCATCAATGCACTAGACTGCCCACAGAGTAAACCTTCTAGAATATTGCTACAATAATCTGACATCATTGTATATTCACAACACCAACATAGTCGGTACAGATCGTGAATCCTTTGTTCGCTGATGGCTCGGTGCAACACAGGCCCCTCGCCCTCGGGGGATCAGCTTTTTGCTGTCCTAGTTCAGGATACATCCCTTCAATTAAAAATAGCCCCGTATTATGTGGAACCTAAGCGAGGTGACCAAAAATAGTGATAAAGGTATTGGAGGGTAAGACCAGCTTGATAGGTTAGCACTAGAGATACCTAGTGAGTCAATTGGATACTATTCTAGTTCCTGTAGACATGACTACTGGACTCCGCAAAGCTAGGTTATACGTAGAAGCGCCAATTTAAAGTCACTGACCAAACAGTCAAAGACCATGTACATTATGATCGAGGAATCATGGAGAAAAGGAAGTCAAAGTGTTTTCGCCCTTCCTTGTAGTCAAATTGAAGACTGGTAGAAGTTCTCACCAGGAGGTATTTCCAGGGAGATTGATCAAGACTATAGAGTTTCTCTACACATAGCATCTCTTATAACACCACACTTTTTAATAGAATCTACTATACTTCAGCTAGAACAGGTTTGCTAAGAAATAAATAAACAGTGTGCTATTTACAAAGCAGCCTAGAAATAGGCTCGCAGGTCAGAAGCTAAAAGCACAAACAAAAGATGTCACGAAATAGTTGATGAACAAAACATACAACCAGGCGCAAACTTCGGACCGCGGCTTGAGAGCGTATATAAGTGCTTATGTGTGGAAGATCCCCCAATCAAGGCGGCCAACACCCATTCCACCGCGGTCACTCTTGCAATCCACCCTCCCCTTGGCCCCGACTTTGCCATCAGGCCTACCAAACTTTGCAATAGACTCGTTAATGATATCCATGATATCCTGATTTCCCATATATGCGGTGTTTGCGGCGTTGCCCTCTGCACCAAACGCGCAGGTGCCAAAATTGACCAGGGTGTAATGTGCGCCAATTTGGGACACCTTCCAGGTTCCGCCCCCTCTGATGTTCTCAACAATATGTTGGCAATCGGAAATATCGGGGGAGCCTTCACTACCCTGATCAACGAAGGTGCTATCCTGGCAGTCGTTGACACTCTTGCGAGCGACGAGTTCGTTGGAAGTGGGCGCCGCCTGGGTCAGAGCTAGCAGGCAAGCGATGGAGGCAGCAATAGAATAACGCATCTTGAAGGCGTTGGAACTTAGAGGTCGTTTGGTGAAACTTGAAGACAATTTGGAATAGAAAGATAGAGAAGGCAAGTTGTTCGAATGCTCGAGAATAATAGAATGTGTGTAAGTATGGTCGGATCAATTGAGTGGGACGGATTAAAGGATTTATATCTTCCACGGCTGTTGGCTATGGTAGAACAGGGCCCGATCTAACAACATTAGGCATTAAATACCAGTCATATGCTCGACCCCACAAGGATCATCGGGGGCTGTACAGGATGCTTCGGCAATATCCGTCTACAGTTTGAGATACCCGAGAAGGGCTCCCGCGCACGCGCCTTGAGCAAGAATCACCATGTCAATACAATCATTTCTTGACTCTATTAGTGTACTCCGTACTTAAAATTGACCGTAAGGAGGCGTGGAAGAACAAAGCTTTAGGTTATAAGCACTAGCGGTTCGTCTCCGAGTCATGGGACGGCAGCAGAGGATGTCTGAACTAAATTTGGTATCTATATTCCTTCGCCCGCGACGATCATGCTATTCCCGTGAGATTTTAGTATATAGATTGTTCGCTACTCCGTGGATAGGTTCAGGTACGCCTTCAAATGTTGACTAGACGGAAATTTCATGACACACTAATTGTTCATTCTACTATGGCGTCTCAATGAGATCAACAATTGTGGCTTGGTGTTTTCTCCTCTTCTCATACCTTGAAGGATTGTTGTCAGCATTAGGGTCATTTAGTGTATAATTTTGATGGAGTTCGGAGGGGCCGATTTAGCACCCCACCCTTGATCATGTGTCTAGTACAAACTATAGATGATTGGAAAACAGCAACCCGAAGGATAACAATTGAATTCGTAGGGGATCAACCACGCTGAGCCATGCGATCAAATGACTCCGGACGAATTTCAGTATAGACAGCACTGAATACACAAAAAGGACCTATACTTGTCATCATCCCGTTTCAAGCCTGTTAAATGCATGATGCGGTATTCCCCGAATGAAGATATCAAATAAATAACAGTCATATTATACCTCCATATTCATGGTGCTATCTTATTCATGTTGAGCATAACATGCAAAATCCCCCGCCTTTTCAATAGCGATCAGCATAGTGGACCACCGCATGCAGTTGCAGGATTTACTTGCTGACTGTGTTTGACTTGGTGTGATTTTTTGAAGATGCGCCATTTGATTTAGCCCCTGTGCTAGAGCTGTGATGTGAAGCTAGACTGGGCTATGCCATGAATGAGTGTCGCACCACAAGCGTTCTGTCAGATGTTAGAGATATTGCACTCGCCAGGGGGTCAGTGCTATGACCGTTGCTCCAATTAAAACATCCCTGCCATAGAAGCAGTGCTATAATTATTATCGTTGCTCATAGATGTGTTACTGGAGATATAGAAGATTAAACCTATATAAACCCCGATGAGTCGTTGGGAACTCTCTGTTCTATTCGAATGCAAGACACATTCTCTTTCCATATATCTTTTCTATCATACCCAATAATCTCTCCGCCCCACCACTTCCAACGTGAGTTGTCTTCTCACACCCTACTCTTGTCTTCAGTTAACTGATCATGATACCTCAGATGCACGTGACCTCATTCCTCACCTTCACCTTGGCCGCTGTTTACCCTGCAATGGTAGCAGCCGACTATGATATCAAATGTGAAACGAGTGGCGCCAGTCCCTGGACAGAAGATGTCACTGCAGTCATCAACCAGATTAAGGGAAAGTCGGATGGCCCCGGACAGAGCTGCATAAACCACAATTCAATTGGAAGCTATTGCACAACTGTTGCAAAGCATTTTAGTGCTGGCCTTGCTACCTGCAACTCTCATAATGATATCAAGTGCAGTGATGTTGCAGATGTTGTCAACGCTCTGCAGCAAAAGTGCAAGGCTGATGTGGAGGGCCATGTACGTGTTGGGGGGACCGCAAAACTTCATGGAGTGGACATTAGAGTCTTCCATCAATCAATCGATGGTAAGTTTCTGATGACATGATGTACATTGAACTATGCTAATGCTAATATCACTGATAAGGCTAGTGGTAGTATATCACAAGTAAATTATCCTCAATGTTGGTTCTTAATTTGTCTTTCCTTTTATTCTTCAAGCTAGTCTATTATGAAGTAAACGTGCTTTCCAAATTGAAAAACGTTTCGCTTTTAATGACATAATAGACTATATTGTAATTCCTTATGACCTAGAGAGCAGAGAAGGGTATTAGGTGGGGCCTGAAGTATACATCAACATTTCCATGAAAATCAGGATTGAATGGTGAAATAGAGAGGAAGAGAGTGTTAAATTATACTTGATTTGATCCCTGTTTTGGGGGTACTTTCTAATCACTAATAACCAAAGGGACTGAATAAATCCAGTCAACTTGTGTTAGTAGTATGACGATGAGATTATAATTATCTCAGGTACTTTGTATAAAGATAAGAGGGTAGTAACACTAGCAAGCTACTTATTTATGCGTCTTTCCACAGGACTAAACCCATTTTTCTTAATATAAGAGATATAAAAGGAGAAGATACAGCCTGCTGGATATATAAAGTTCTATGAACATAGTAATTACTTTGATAGAATTACAACAATATCTCAAGACTCCTACGCCAAAATCCTGACCAACATTTGGTATAGGGCTTAACCTGACTGATATCCCAACACACACCCCTTAAGGCCTATCAAGCGGATTTAAGAACTTACGCACTGGCTACTTTTAGTACTGGTACTGGCCCTTTGCGCTGGCACCTTGGCACTGGCTCTTGACATTGACACTGACTTCTCTTGGGTACTAGCCATCTACAGTAGCTCTCTCTAATTACTGGTAGACTTTATAGGAAATATCGACCAGCTCAGAGCGGGAATTCATCCTAGAGCCTCGGAACAAAGGGTACATAAACGCATAGCCATTATGCCAAAGAATTTTATGTCGTCTTCGGTACTATCTTGAGTATCTAACACACCACTCATTCAAATAAATTATGAATTGACTCCTAGACGGGGGTCACAGTAAATCTCAAACAGATATGGGGATTACTGTGAAAAAAGTAGGGCGATGTCGAAGTTGCAAGCGGTCGCCAGTGCTTGTACAATGACTACTGCCAGGTCCAACCAGAGCTCCTACCTCTAGAGGTTATGACTACGCAACCGCCGTAGATACTGTTGGATATCAATACTTTCAAGCCCTTACCACTCGCCAATTGGTGTTTTTGGTCTAGTGGTGAAAGAATGAGAATCCCTTCGAACGTCCAGTCCGCCAATATCACGATCGAAGGGGCGTTTCAAGGCTCTAGCCTCCTTCTTTTCTCTGCTCCGGTAGAGGTTTGGACGATGCTACCGGCGAAGGATACATCATACACATTCGTCGGGCATGTCAAGTCCCATATCATTGTGCCACAACCTGTGGCACACACTACTACTACGCTACCCACGCATCACGCCCTTCCCCCCGCGAGAGAAAACCAAGCACCCCAGAGCCCAGACAGAAAAGCGTTCGAGCGTCCCGGGTCTACACCATTTCGTTGAATGGGCTTGCACTTGCAATGGGTCGATCTCTCACTTTGCTTTTCCTCAAAATGACCTATTCCAACCTCCTAGTCATCCTAGAAAGGCTTTCCTATCCCTCCCCGCAGAAGCCTGATATGACATTTGTATCGTTAGTTGTAATGAAACGTTCAGTAACCTTCTTATCGACTATGATAGTCCATGAATCAACCAAGTTTGAAGAGTAAATCACTAATATTTCGTGCTAGATTAACTAAGCAACATAATCACGGGTCGCGCAAGATATACACTTCTGCAGCTCCTCGTGCAGCCTCATGTCCCAGCCCTAGAAATGCGCAAATAGATATACAGAATCGAATACCAAGGGGGGGTCTATGCTAATCGGCCGCCAGTGGCGTCATGAAAATTCACATTTCACCTTCCCCGATGTGCTTACCCTTTCTTACCTCCTTGTTGACAGCGTCGCGGGATATTCACTTGAATCTTATTGCCAGAATAAACGTACGTATTCCGCCCATGATTGCCCAGAAGCGATTTAGGAAGGCGTCATACGTTGTCAAGCTTTGTAGTTTCCGTCGCAATTGTTGGTAGCTTCATCCACCATTCGTGGGTCACATCGCCCCTCCCACAGGATGCAGGGACGCGACGGCGGCACGACACTACACCTACCCTAACACATTCCGCCGTTGGTTCCTTTGCCCCTGGCCTCTGTGGGACCATTTAGGGCCGCTGGACAGGATGCGAGATAGACTCGTACCAGCACGGTGGAGCTGTAGCTTGCAAAGAACAACTCACCAGACTTGAGAGAGTTAGTAGGTGTATGTGATTTGATGGTGATATAAGCCCCGTGATGGATAAGCATGGGCTTGAGAAGGATTAACGCCCACGCCCTAGGATTATTTTAGAATGATACTAGAGACGCATCCAGGCTCCACCGCTGGTTCACGATAGACTCAGAACAATTGGGCGGCGTTTATAGACCATCAATTCATGTCGATCGTCGGAGATCGCAATTCGAAATACGATATGGAATCAGCAGTTCCTACCCTACGCGGTGGATCAACGCCGATACAAAAGTTGTCAGAATGACAATGAGAAAATATACACCCACGGTATTATGGGACGCCGAACGATAGTTCGCTCTCAGAGCCTCTAGTGGCGATCGTGCCCCTGGCCTGGACAGTGCGCTCTACTACAGTCACTGCGGGTGGGGTCCGGCCCAAGTCTCGCAGCCCTACATATAGCGGCTGCTGCCATGCACGATGTGCTGCTCCGGTTGGTGGAGAATCAGTTCATGGATCTTTCCGTGTTGCCAAGGTGTCATCGCCACAATGGAAGAAATTGTCTGGCATTCCGTTTATTTTCTCGGTTGTAAGCGTCTTGCTTTCTTCATTCGGCCGTTCCTACCCTCCGATGTGGTGATCTGACCTACAAGAGGCATGGCTGGGTGGAGAGCCCGCCCAGGATGCCATCCATCCTAGCCACTGAGAACTCCCTCTAGACCACCCCCTTTTCCGCCCCGTCTACCGGCACGGCTTGGCTGCGTTGGCGAGCACACGGTTTGATCCACCGTCCAATGCAACTCCACTTTGAAATGGCTGCATCCACCCCTATTTTACCTTGTGTGTTCTGGCCCAAAACATTCCCCTCAGTGTCAACCGTACAGTGCGAGAAGTCTCATCTCCCAACTCACCCTCGTGTCTTCGGTTGCCTGCATCACTTTGCCATATCGTCGCCGTGATGGATGTTTTAGATCGCCCGTACGGGGTTGGCATGCGCATTCAAAACAACTGCCCCGTCGGAAGTCAGGAGTGTAGTAAGAGGTCTGGGACCGCGCATGGCTTTGTTAGTTGCTGCCCTCGGGATTCCACATGTGCAACGTCAGATGGCACCTACTGCTGCCCGGATGACATGAAAGAGTCAGAGTGCAGAGACCTAGTCATCGACGGAGCGCACTGTGCCAATGAAACGTGGTCCCTGTTCCAGTCAGGTCTCGATGACGGGTTCTTTTGCTGCGAGGCTCAGGATATTGGATGGTGGGGTTCGCTCGGGGGAAACAGAGGGTATGTCGGATGCGGCCCGAATGGATCAAGCAACTCAGATGACCACGTCGTATCTCCTGTCGCCCAAAGTGAGTATTCCTAAGCTACCAAAGGTATTGCTACGCATGTCCGTTGGAATCTGACCTCGCCAGTATTACCCTCCGGTACCGTGCAGCCCACTACTGTGCCCTCCTCCACCGCCGCGCACCCGACCAGCGCCTCGGCCACCTCGGAAACTACTATAGCCACGCCGTCGTCCGCTCCGGCCGACGATGATGAGTCCACGTCCAGTAGCCACACCGGCGCCATTGCTGGCGGCGTGGTCGGGGGCGTAGCCGGTGTTGTCTTGATCGTAGCGGCAATATTTTTCCTACTCCGTCGCCGCCGGCGCCGGCCAGAGCCGGCAACCCCAGTTCCTGTGACCTCCCCCAACAGACCGATGAACGAGCTGGAGGGCAAAGCCATGCCACACGAACTTGAGGGTCAACAGCGCAGCGAGATGGATGCGCAGTCGCCACCGTGGGAGCAGCATGATCAAACCAAGCGATTCGAACTGCCCTAGCTGGAACGGCGCGAAGTATCCGCCTGTGGCTCATGCATTGGACGTGGGTATTTAACCGACGGCCTTAGCGCCGCGGGAATGATGAAACCACCGGTCACGTCCATACCCAGCTGATCCGAAGATTTTTTCTTCCGATTGATCCCTTTTACCTCGCTCAGTGACTCAACCGCTTGTGCTCTGAACGATAAAATCGTATAATTCAGCGTGGATCATCCAAAAAGGTTTCCAGTCGGTCGACGCGTACGGATGGGGGGTTCTCATTGGGTTCACTGCGCATAGCTTCCCATCGCAGAGGATACACAAAATTGGCGACAATCCAACCAAACAAGGGGTCGCAGCGTCGGAGAATTGACTGTTTAATCCCAATTGAATGCAATTCGATTTCAAACGTCCGCAGCCACCATCTGCGGATTCACTTCGCACCAACCCATCCTTGCGCAAGCTCGCTGGCGAGATAATCAAACCGGGTACCTCACCACCAGTGGCTTCATGTCGTTGCATTTTCTCCGTCAATCATGGCACGATGTTGCACGCATTCTTGAGTGGTGCTATCATGGGGAACTTTTCCAGTATACTATGTCCCTTTCCAAACCTCAATGTTTACTACACTTTCAATAAATACTGCATTCACCGCTGCATTGGGAGAGCTACCTAACTATGTTGAATGACAAGTGGCCCATATTGAAAACCACTCGGCTAGAAACAGTACTCTGCTAGTACCCTTTTATCACAATGGATTTTATTGCGACAGGAGCTTATTGCGACAGGAGCATATGGAAAAACAGCCATTACAACTCCATCTCGAGCGTTGAATTCCTCAGCAGTGGTTTGAAACATTCGCTTTCTCTGAATGGTGTGCACTTGGCACATCAATTACGTGTTGAGGTCCCTTGTTCGGAGCCTGGGCGGTTCACTGTCCTCCTTTTCCATCTGCCGTTTGCGACTTTTGGACAAACTACGTCGATTCTAATCAGGCCTGGCCTGGAATCTCGGAAATTCGGGCTTTCTGGAAGGTTCTGCTTCCGATGGCTCATCGTCAACCGGATCCTCGTCTGATAAGCCCTCCTCCGTAATCTTGCCAAACAGGAATTCTTGGTCGAGATCCAGTTCATCCTCTGGGATGTCGGCGGCGCCACTGATGGCCTTGACCCGGTTTAGTATCCACTGCATCTCAAGTAGTTCCACGGAGGGCAATGGGCGAACTTCTGGGTCGTCGGTTCGTAAGGTCATCTCCTCACCGGACTCAATGATCTTTTCCGTGTGACAGTTGAACAACTTTGTGTCTTTTGGCCCGCTCCTGAGATCTTGCGGCAGCTCGGGGCACATTGTCAACTGGACACGACGAGAGAAGCTGGGGTTTGGAAGCCAGAAAAACTTCACTTCTAGAGTTTTCTGGTCTTCGGAGAGCTCAATGGGCTTCAAGGAGAACCGAGCCATGCCCCATAGGCCGTGCACGTTTGAGCCCAAGCATAACATGTTCGAACAAGTTTCCGACTGAGCGCCACGTTGAGTCGGCTCACATCCGCTATGAATCCAACTTTGCTGGCATCGGCAGACGGCTTGGTAATGGAAAAGATGACGAGAGGCGCCTCTGATCCTTGAGCCGCGTCAATTGTAAAACTGTCGCGGTACTCGATTCCATGCTCAGCGAGAATCTCCCCAATCAGCTTTCGCTGGTCCTTGTACGGGCTGATGATCATGACATCACCAGGCACAATCTGGTCACCGTCGCGGGTTTGGAACCGATACAACTCCCTTAGTAGATGTCGGATCACATGGGCCTGAGATACATTCTGCCAGGACAAAATATTTGTCGGCTTTTCCGCGTTGCCCAGGGCGCTGATAAACAGCCGGCGTACCCCACCCAGACCACAGCCACGGAAATAGTGTCGATCTTGAGTGAAGGTGTCCCAAGCCCTACCCACCCTATCGGGCGCATCGCTGTTTTGGCCTGACAGTACCGCCGTACACGGCACGGTTGAAGTATTCCAGAATCTGGCTATGATTCCGGTAGTTCCTATTCAGCATCGTACAAGGATAACCTGCTGCATAGAGCCGTGCCATGAGCGACCGCTTGAGGCACTGCGCGCCCTCATTGGTGCCATTCTCCAAGATGACCGTCGGGGGAAGCTGTTGGGGGTCACCGATAAGAACCACTCCTCTCATAGTCGGGAATGTGAGTGCGATGTACTGGTCGCCTTCGAGGCACTACCAGACCTCATCGCCGACGACAAACTGAGGCGTAAATCGAGACAAGCAAAGGATATCTTGTCATGCATTGTTGAGCGTGGTGGCGACAACCCTGCAGCCCTTGAGAACGCCGCTCACACTATCCTCATAGCTTGCACGCAGCGCCTTGAAGTCTTTAACGACCCTAATGACCCTAATAACAACATGACCTGTTGAATTCAGCTCGCCGTCCGAATAACTTTTGGAAGGGTCCATCAGGAGCTGGTACTTGACCTCGGTACCTTCCATTATTATAGGAACAGTTAACGCATCTTCGCCATCAGCTGTCCGGAGCTTGATGTTGATGTAGGATCCGGTTGGCCCGGCTGCAATCCAAGCTGTGTGTCACCGGCTGGGGTTGAAGACGCGGGTGACTAGCTGACGTTGGACCTCTTTCTCATTTAGAGAAGACTGGATCAATCTGCAACACCGGTCGTGGTCATCAATAAAGAAAGGGTCTTGCGGCTCCCATTCTTTATGCGATTGTTGGTCCGTTCCAGAGAAAAGCCAAGGCATTGGTGGTCGACAACCTGATTCATCAGCCTTGGCCTCTCTGTAGTACCAGAACGCTTGCCCTATTCTCCCAGCATCGCAGCGCTGTTGAATCAATACTTGTAGCTGTTTGACCCAACGCAGGATATCAGGCACGGCGAGAGCGTCCTTCTGGTGGCACTCCAGCCAGGCGGTCACATCCGTGAGGTGCCACTGAATGCCGGCGAGTGCTTTGGAATCGGGTGAATTGTCGCTATCTTGCTGGGGCTGAGTCCTTATGACCACGGGCTCGTCGTGGCAACGAATATTGAAGTAGTTTAGAGGTCTTGCCGAGTTGAGTTCTGTGGGGAATTGCGGCCGGTGTTGCCCAACCAAGTCATTGGCTGCGGTGCTCTCGCCTTCCGGTTCCGCTTCGATCCCGCATGCTTGGAATGGGGCAATGATTTGTCTTTTTTCCAGACCTTTGAAACGGATGATCAGCCGCGGTTGTTGGGAGTCAAGAATAATCCGGGCCCTGGCGGCGGACAGAACACGATCGCCACCCAGCGTGATCACACATTGACGCCAAACTTTGCAACATTGGCTGAGGGACTGGGGAACGTCTGACCCATGAGGGTCTTCGAACCAAGATTTGTCGAGGACACGTTGATTGTTCGTCATTTTGTGCGAGTGCGGATCAATGTCTTTATCGGTCATCGAATATCAGGACTCTACATAATATCTAAGATCCATAGAATGATGTGTTCTCACGTACCCTGTAGGAAGTTGGTCGTAAAATGGCGTTATGTCTCGGCACTAATGGGTGAGGATCTTACCCCCAGGGGGGGCAAGCACTTGGATTTCTTAGCTGAATTTCGAACCCTCAAATGGAAAAGGACTCACCACAAGTAAAGATTTTGAAAGACCAAGTTCTCAAGGAGAACCGGCGCTTCAATATCATCAGTCTCTTGCTCTCGTGATATCTCAAAGAAACGCACCTCACGGGGTTGAAAAAAGAGAGCAAGCCCTCTATGAGAGCCGGCTGTACATAGGTTAGACCAGCTCAAGATAAAGGGAGACTTTGAAGCGATTCTAATAACCAAGACTCCCACTAAACAGAGCAAGTGGACTCTGGAAGCCTTGACTTGTTTCAGCGAGACAGTAGGGCAGTGTACCTACCGCGCAAGCCGATAAGTAATGAAAACAAACATAGGACCAAGCCCTTAACTAGAGCCGCTGCATGACATTAGCTAGCTATGTTGATAGCGGATATTTTCTAAGCTTTTCTCACACAGATTGAAGTAGCTGTTTGTGATCATAAAAAAAAGCGATATTGGCAGTATTCGAACGGTGCCGAAGTGACAAGTTTATGGCGAGAGAGTAGAGAGAGGCAAGAGAGTCGAGAGAGGCAAGAGAAGTGGGAGAAGTGGAAGAAGTGGAAGATAGGGTCACCGACGTGTTGTGTTGTGTTGTGACCTTTCTGTCAGATGTTTTCCTGACTGCATCAATAGGATGAAAATTAGTCACTGCTAACCTGACACAGTGAAGTCAAACTTGCCACACTCAAGCCCCATAACGAGTTAATGCTTAACTTTGGGCATTCACTGGTCGACTGTAACCAGTAATAGAGAGTATGCAGAGAAAGTGCCAGAAATGGCAGGAGGCACTTAGAGTCTCAGGTGTAATAGGGCTGACGGAGTGAGGGCTTGACAAGATCTGCTGACCCACGGTGGAATTCATTCGTTCGATGAAATCTCCTTGATGTTGGATGCTTGACGGGATCTTCCAAACTTGGATATCTCGTCATCATAACATAGCTTGCCCGTCATCATCCCATCCCATCTCTCCCCCGTCGCTTCCGTATTGTTTCCACTCCCCCCCTTGTTGAGAGAAGAGCGGTATCTTGCCATGAGCTCTCGGGCGCTTTCCAGGCACTGGTCCACCCAGAAACCCCAACAATCATTTCGACCGACCGTACGAAGGAATATATGGCCGCTTCAGGAGTAATTGTCGTGGGGTCCGAGAGGGGATATTCATCCCGTGTCCAGCCCCCACAGCACCCATTATAAAGACCCATTAGGTCGTAGTTGTCTTGCTATTCAACAAGATCAAGCAGCCGATGGTTAAGAACCATGTAGCTATAGTGCCCACTGAACATGTCCTATCCTGTTCTCTCTACATGTGGCTATGCTCAGCATTTCCATCCTCTAGCGAGAGCCGAGGATGAGATGCGGGTTAAGTCTTCGCAGCACATGGTATTGTAGGTGTCAAAGTGATCACGGCAAAGTGGGGATTTTGGTTTTAGGTCTGATCACCGCAAGGACCATGCGGAGGGAGAGGCCGACCCACTGAACCAATGCGATCTTAGCTAGACGGGTGTCTCGGCTACGATTCCCTGGAGCCCCGGCCGGATTGCGCGACACACGCCACAGGCTTGATATGCAAACGACACAGAGAGCAACCACCCGGACAGTTCGTGGCCCAAAGCGTTGAAGCTTGGCCGATGCGTTGGATAACTCATGAGAAAGTAATGGCACCCGCCATTCCAACGGTTCAAGCATTATAAGTTTGCAAGCTCTTGCGGAGGCGTCAATATTTCTCGAATCATAATCGTTCAGCTAGGGCTCCTGCTCGCCATGCGACGCCACAACCAAGCAGACCCTGCAATGTCATTGGGATACGCGGAGCTCATGTCCCGACAACGCCGTGCCGAATTCAGTAAGGTCAATATGGGATTCCGAATCCAACGGCAGACAAGCTACTTAGTGGGGGTTACGCCTGAGTCACAACTACTGTTCGTGTTACCCCCTAGCGTGGCGTTCTTCGGCCTTTTTGTCCAGGGGCGAATGGTATTAATCACAAGACATGGCACCTACTCTATTATTGACGCATTGCAAAACAAGCTGGGGAATGTCTCACTTGAGACTGGTGGTCTGAGAACGCGTCGAATCATCCCCAGACTGGGAGCACATTTGGGCCTTGGCAGGACCCTTGCGGCGGTATTGGCCATGACTAGCTCTGGCAGGATCTGGCAGGATTCGGGCATGACTTTTGACCCGGGGATATCGGACCGGGCAACCGATGCAAGGTAGAGAAAATCTGGGGTAGTTGGCCGAGGGGGTGAGACTAGAGAAGAGACAATCCGGGGTTGATTGGCAGGTTAGCTTCGGCTACGCTAACCATCTCACCACGTTGCGAACCCCCTACTCAAGTCATGCAATATAGGATACAGACTTGACAGGGCCATAACGTTCTCGGCCAGGCAAGATAGCTGTCTAAAGCATGCGAAGACCAAATGGTGGCGCCCACCGCTAGATATAAAACCTACGTCCCCTGCTCAAGGAACCATGAATCCCAGCTTGCAACTTGAGAAGCCATTCCCCCGATACTCTTGGGAAACCTCAATCGACAATTCAGAGCAGAATGGGTAAGGCCGAGGAGGCCATCGCGGGTGCCACCGAGCTCCAGCCGCATTTTCCGGTCGTGGCGGAGGGAACTGGCAAGACTGCGGGCAATGAAGGTGCTACCAGCAAAGAGGTGTACAACGTACGTTTTGTCCCGGTCGGTCGTCAGGGTACAGGATGATGCTGATTGCTCTCCGTTAGGCCGAGCTGTACGCGGCGATCCAGGAATCCAATATACCGAGATGGAGCAGGGCGGCCATACATCTGTACCGTGAGTAAATCTCTCCAGCACCCCCTGGGTGGGTCATGACATGTCCTGTCTGACAATCATATCAGTATGTGTGTTCATCGCGTTCTGCTGTGCGTGCGCCAACGGCTATGATGGTTCCCTGATGGGGTCGATCACGGTCATGCCGCATTTCAAGTCGGTCATGCACAGTGAGAATGACGGGTGGAAGGTGTCTGTCATGACCTCTCTATATTCAGTGTAAGTACACGCCGGTCCCCGTTCTGCCACTTTATCGTCGCATCCCATACACAGTCTCTAATAAGGTTAGGGGCTCGATCATCACCACCCCTTTCGCCGCCGCTGTCAGTGACCGATGGGGTCGCCGAGCCGGAATGATCGCCGGAGCCGTGGGCATCATCCTGGGCAGTGTCATCGCGGCCAGCGCCTTCAGTCTCGCCCAGGTCACCGTCGGCCGTCTGGTGCTCGGCTCCGGGATTCAATTCATGACGGTCGCCGCGCCAGCCTACTCTATGGAGATTGCTCCACCTCAGTGGCGTGGTCGCTGCACTGGTTTTTACAACTGTGGATGGTTCGGAGGCTCGATCCCCGCCGCCCTGGTCACTTTCGGGTGCCAGTACATCGACAACACCTGGTCGTGGCGAATCCCGTTCATCGGCCAGTGCGTCGCCTGTATCATTGTTCTGGGCGCCGTGGCGTTCATCCCCGAGTCTCCTCGTTACCTCTTTGCCCAGGGCCGAGAGGAGGAAGCCATCGAGTTCTTGGTTAAGTTCCACGGCAACGGCGAACGCAGCTCGCGCCTCGTCCAGCTCGAGATTGAGGAGATTCGCGAAAGCATCCGACAAGAGATGCAGGATAAGGCAATTCCCTGGTGGGATTTCCGCTGTCTCGTCGACAGCCACGAGAGTCGCTGGCGGTCAACGCAGGTGCTGATGATGGGAGTCTTTGGCCAATTCTCGGGCAACGGATTGGGATACTTCAACCCGGAAATCTTCAACAAGCTGGGTGTCAAGTCCACCTCGCAGCAGCTCGGATACAACGTGCTCAACTCGGTTCTTTCTGCGATCGGCGCGGGCACCGCCGTGTCCCTGACGGACCGCATGCCTCGCCGTCCGGTCCTGGTGTACGGCACCTTCCTGTCGGCGGTGATGTTGGCCATCAACGGTGGGGCCAACCGCGCCTTTGGGGCCGACCATAGCAACGCGAACGCCGGTCGCGCCGCGCTCGCCTTCTACTTCCTCTTCAATGTCGTCTATTCGTTCGCCTACACTCCGCTCCAAGGTGTCGTCCCCGTCGAGGCCCTTGACACTCACCGACGCGCCAAAGGCCTAGCCTTTTACGGCTTCCTGACGGGCTGCCTGGGCTTCATCAACACATTCTGCACCCCGATCGCCAATCGAACCATCGGGTTGAACTATATCTGGGTGTTTGTCGGTTGGGACTGCGTCGAAGCCGTCCTTTGGTATCTCTTTGCGTAAGTCTATCCTCCTCTTCTTTCTCCCCCGGACGGTTCGCGTTTGCTAATTAGATTCAGTGTCGAGGGCCAGGGACGTACCCTCGAGGAGTTGGAATGGGTCTACAAGCAACCCAATCCGGTCAAGGCCTCACAACGCGTTGACAAGGTCGTCCAACAGGCCGACGGCACCGTCACCGAGAAGGTTGTCGACCATACTATTTAGCACGCTCTACTCTGCCTTGCTGAGATGGATCGGACGGACGAATACTGGGGTGTGGAACAAGGATCAGAGGGAGGATTTATCAATAGGGGGGAGGGATACGAATATATTTTCTAATACCACCACGAGATCTCTATTAATCTCGTGATTGTTCTCAATCTTCTTGCAGTGCTTTCCCTTGCAGTGCTTTCTTCCAGTGTCACACGGTGAACTACCGGGATGGACCAAATCCAACGTAGCGTACCGTCGTGCGATCTCTGGGGCCGCGTTCAAGACGTGTGTTTGTGGGAAGTCGAACGCAACTCGAATCAATGCGATCGGTCAGTGGGAGATGTGTGATCTGTCGCCAGACCCAATAGAGAATCATCTGGACTTCGTTTTCGACTCATCGGAACCTTCTTCTCCATCCATCTCCTATCCTCGACCCCGTCCACCCCACCTAGTAATATATATGTGGTTTGTTTCCCTCGAGCTAGATCGGTCTGTGATAGATTCCTCAAATATATTATGCCATGCCCGGTTTCCATCATCCATATTCAACCACGCCCAATTGATTCCAGAGGAGACATGTTCGACAGTCGGCGCAGGCGCCAGCAAATCCGACTCGGGGCCCAACAGAGCTGCCCCAAGCGGATTTACTATTACTATAGTGACGTCTGTGGAATGGAATCATAGGTGAAGGTACGTTTCGTCATATTTTGCTTCAAGCACTTCAAATTTACTACGACTAGCTCATTAACCACCCACAGCAACACCATGGCCAAAAAGTCTCTCCCATTTCATCAACATTGCTGCCACAAACATGACGGCTCCAGCAACGGGAACCAACACAAACGTCATACGCATTGCCTGCGAGATGGCATCGACTGCTCGGTCTCGTAGTGGACCCTCCAGCTCCTCAAACAATGCGCTCTGCGTGCCCGCCACCGCGGTCCAAATCTCGTCGTACGAGTATCCGTGACCAGCCAGAGCAGATTGCAGATTTGCAATAGCCCGCGAGCGGTAGATCTGTCCTGCAAGAGCAAGTGCAATGACTTGGCCACCAATCTGGGCAACATTCTGCATTTTCAGCCCGGCGCCGGTGTCTTCCGGCTTGGTCGTCAAGGTGGCAACTGTATAGCCAATAACCATCGACAGGCCACTTCCTACAGCAGCGAGGATTGAAAGCCCATAGATCGTTCCTGTCGTCGTGCTGGGTTTCAAATAAGCCACCATGGGACCACCACCAACCAGAAGAAAAACGCTGGCGAGAAGGAAGATGATCTTGTAGAGCTTGATGAAATGGAGGAGCGAGCCGGAGACCAGATTGACCGCGACGGCGATGACGACGAATGGCAGGAGACGCACGGCTGCCATGAGGGCGCCGTCGCTATTCACAAACTGAAAGTAGATCGGGAGGTAATAGACGATGACGAACACGGAGGTGGTTCCAGCCGCTGTCACGGCGTACAAGAGCACCTGTGTACGATCGCGCAACAAGTGCCCCGGGAATGCGCGTCGAGCGGGGGTAGTAAAGACCGCGAAATATTGCTGCAGGGCATAGAGTGCGAGGAGAGCGCCAAATACAACAAAGGTGGCAATCGTGCGTCCATCATTCCATGGCCATTGGCCCCCAGCCATTGTGAACGCGAGGAGAAAGCTCACCCACATGCCGGCGCCCAGAACGAAGCCGACAAAGTCGATGGAAGCCAGCTTTTCCCGCCTGGGAACGTCTGGCATGAGACGGATTGATGGGAGACAGAGAATAAATGCTGGGGCAGAGATGGCACCGATCACCAGGTTGATGTAGAAGGCCCAGCGCCAGGTGGCTGCAGACACGGCGAAGGCGCCACCGATCAGAGGCCCCAACACACACCCAAGGCCCCAGAAAACGGCGATGAGAGCCATATAAAGACCCCGTTCCTTCTCCACTGTCATGATCGCAAGATATTGTAGTGATCCCAGGTAGATACCGCTTCCACCAGCGCCGGCGATGACGCGGCCAATAATCAGAGCGTTCATATTTGGAGCAGCGCCACAAAGGGCCGATCCCACTTCAAACAGCACCACGGTTGCAATGTAGACCCATTTCATGTTGAAGGTGTTGAAAAGGGTGCCGAGTAGGAGAATGACGCATACTGAGCCCAATGGGAAGCCGGCTCCGATCCAGGAGAATTGGTCGACATGACCGAATGCAGCGACGACAGGGCCTTGGACATCGGCAGCGATTGTGGTATCCAGTCCATAGAGAAAGCAAGTGATGTAAAGTGAAGCGCAAACCACGATCCAGTTGATGCCGCGGATCTGTCGTTCTTTGGTCTCTGGTTCTTCGATATGCCCATCTTGGGGCAGCTCCCGCTTGCCCAACTCAGGGTCTGGATTAGATGCCATCTAGTTAGATTGGGATAAGATATCTAGGGGAAGCGAAAAAGGTCAAAATAGTATGGCAAATATAGTCGAAATTGTGTGGGCATTGAGTACAAGTTTACTTGTTACCTATTTATGCTCCTTCCATTTTCTTCCCTCCCAAGACGAACCATTGACTTTTCACGTTGTGTGCGATCCTTCGGCGACATGCTGTTTGTCTTTGTCAACCATATATTACCAATTAGCCAGGAAGCAGGGGTATATGTCTCCGAAGGAACACCATGTACAATCAATCGGCAAGCCAATGATATGAGTGGCACTTTCTTTCCTCGTTCTTTGGTAATCACGGTGCAAGGTCTCCACTTTTTGGCATAGAGTACCTTCCGATGAGGGCTTAATGCTTATGACCAAGCATAGGTATAGATTAACTGAACGTGATCGCAGCGCTATTCTAGAAAGACCTTAGTGTGATTACAAATTCGAAAGAGTTTCAACTCAGCTAAAAATCATTCCGATGGTCGGGCCAATATGGTTCCGAGTGCTTACAATATTCTGCGATACACGCGCCCTTTGCTGAATTGCCGATACCAGCGGTCGTGATGCTGCCCCAAACCCGCAGTTGATCGGGGATCATATCTCGGGTGGAGAGATTCACGAGGATGGCGTGGACCCCTTCCACATCTTCTAGGAATTGGTTGGCTCCCTGTCCTTGGTGTAGGACCCACGGATGAGCAGCACCACGGCATCAGCGATCAAAACGGCCCGACCCTTGAGGTAAGCGGGCAAGGGCTCCTGATTGCGAACTGGAAAAAGCTCAAGTTGCGACATGGGACTATTTCCACATTTCTCTTTAGATTCCGAAAGATGCGGAAGAGCCCCAACTTGGGGTGATACACGTGCTTTACGTTAGTCAACCCTCTTCAGCGCTTGTCGGTAGGGTCTCATAAAAACCCCAGCGGTGGGAAATAACTGCTGTGGAAATAGAGGATAGAAACGCGCTCTGGGCAATGAAATTGATGATATTCGGAGCTATGGAACAGCTTGCTCGATGGTTGAAAATACAAGATGGTCAAATGTAGGAAAAGGATTCTGCAAACGCTGCAGGTCAGTTGGCATGCCAACCGATTGCAGTCACTTCCACAACTGCCACAGCAGGTCGTTCGACCGAAAGCTCGGATAGTGTTGAGAAGTATCTCGTGTGGTGGCCCTGTTTAACGAGGAGTATATGTTGGACAACATGACTGAAGGAATCATCGACGCCTGTCAATGCCTTGCTCGGAGCACCACGAGCTTAATTGTCTTGACGCGTTGTGGAACTATCAAGGAACAGAATAGGCAGTGCCTTGATCTCTGGTCTGCTTCGCGTGCTCCAATCCGAAATCCGGACTGCCAGTATGTCTCAATTGACATCAACAACATTGGTCTTACTGCTCTCGCGCGCTCTATAGCAGACCAGGAGCTTGCACTTCATTATGACGAAGCGGACATTATCAAGGACCTTGGACTTTTCTAGCAGAACGAGTACCTTTGGGTGAGTCGCCATGTACTCAATGCAAGATTCCACTCGCACCATGGCATCAGCCATCAGATCATCAGACCAGAGCTATTGCCCTTTCAGGTCATCGAGCTCTCCGTGGTGCTTTCGGCGTTCCGGGTCTGCTCAGCCGTATGTACTTCAAGCCGTATGTGAAGCTATCGGTACAACAATGCACGAAGCCCTCTCATCATGCGTGTCTTCAAGGACGCCTAGAAGTACTCTGCCTCTTCCCAGATGCTCCAGCTGAAGTTTCCGAAGATACTCCCGCGTCTATCTCTTCCACATTCGATGCCGCGATTTAGATCAGCTGCGCAATGCGTTGCGTCAAGGATCAGCTTACTCGACCTTCTGGACCCCCGTGAGAGCATCACGTCTCAGGCGGAGAGCATCACTGACAAGGGATTTAATGCGAAAGAAAAAATTACATCCACCGGGTGAAACCCCATTCAACTGAACCTTCGATTTGTGTTGATTTTGGTACAATTGGGTTCGAACGAATGACATAGAATTTTTCCGCCCACGTTTTTTGTACAAACGTTGATACCAATTGCTCATGTTTCATTGGATTTGATGGAGCCCCTGAGTAGGTGTGATGTATTCCATGGATTCTCTAAATATTGGGGTGGATTGTCAGTCATACCCCAGTGCCGTTCAATATATGTGGGCAGTGGCGAAGTCTAGTTGGAAGTGGGATATGTATTCGATTAATACTCTGTCCCTGCTGTGATATTGTTCGGCAGTTGATCGAGGCACTTGACTCCGTGAAGTGGGACTAGGTGGGGTCAAAGATGATGCCATGAATTGTCACTCTGTGGTCCGGCTCCACATCCAGGGCTTCCGGCATGGCGAACGTGCTAACCAGCCTACTGCGTGGACTAAAAACAGGATCAGGAAAAAAAGATATCTAGTGTTGCTCGGCAGGTCCCTCTTATGGATGCACGAGTGTCGCCTATGTGGACCGACCCTGGTCTCATTCGCCACCGTTCTGCTAGTTTATTAAGCGGCTACATCCAACACTCACATTTCGAACGGATTCATCTGGGATCTCTCGAGTCTCGGATAAGTCGGCAGGCCCCACAAACCACAAAGCTTATGCCACCGGATCGTTGCATTATTCAACGATCCACGTTCTTTGTCAGATTGACTCACCGGGTGGAAAGATTTATATATCTACATCTAGCCCCGCCTCCATGCACATGCAGAAGATCCGTCTGACACTCATCGCCGTCGAATTTGGACCAGTATGCCATCAGCGGGATGGAGTAGTGCCGAATCCACCCACAGCAACGAAGAGAAACCCAGAGTCTCCGGTAACGCCGAGGGTCGGTTATCGTCAGAGACCTCACGATGCTCCATTTCATCGACCGTCGACCATTATGACCCCCATTTGCATACCCTGCGGTCGCGCCAGACCGAACCCGACTTGGAACGCCATCCGACAACCACTTCGGGCGCGCTGAGTCGGATTGAAACCCAACGGTACCAGCATGCACTCACCGTCGGAGAAGGTATCAAACACCGTCCGTCGCGGGCTCCCCTACCTCCGTTTGGCGGCGGCAAGCCCTATCCCCCGCCGTTGCCAGCACGGGAGGAGTATGTCGTCGAGTTCGACGGGGCAGAGGACCCCATGTACCCTCAAAATTGGCCAACCTGGAACAAGTACGGTCATATCTTTCCCTACAACTGCATATACATATCCGGGATATTGAGCTAACCAACCGATTATAGGGTCTACCTCAGCGCCATTCTCGCCTTTACCAGTGTCTCCTCGACATTCGACTCGGCCATCTTCAGCGCGTCGGCCAACAATATCTCCAAAGTGTTCGGCGTGGGATCTGTAGTGGCCAGCCTCTCCAGCACTCTCTACATCGCCGGGTATGCGTCAGGCCCCTTGGTCTGGGCGCCTCTCTCAGAGCTCAAAGGTCGCCGCCCCCCCATCCTCTTGGGGATGCTGGGATTTGCCATCTTCAATACGGGCGTCGCTGTCGCCAAGGATCTACAAACGCTCATGGTGTGCCGGTTCTTTTCCGGCGTCTTTGGCAGCTCGCCGCTAGCCGTCGTCGCCGCCGTCTTCTCGGACATTTACAGTAATCGAACGCGCGGGGTGGCGATCGCCTGCTTTTCCAGCACCGTCTTTCTCGGTCCGCTCCTCGCCCCGTTCATCGGGGGCTTTATCAACATGTCCTATCTGGGTTGGCGATGGACGGCGTGGATTCCCGCCTTCATGGGCTACGCGTCCTTTGTCTTGAACGCCCTCTTCCTCCGAGAGTCGTACCCACCCGTCGTTCTCATCGAGAAGGCCGCGGAGCTGCGACGGCACACCAAAAACTGGGGCATCCACGCCAAGCAGGAAGAAATCGAAGTCGACCTGCGGGGCCTACTCGTCAACAACTTCTCCCGCCCGCTGCGGATGCTGTTCGGCGAGCCCTTGATTCTGGCCGTAACCGTGTACCTGAGTTTCATCTACGGGCTTCTCTACTGCTTTCTGACCGCGTATCCGCTCGTGTTCCAGGGGGTACACGGGATGAATCCGGGCGTCGGCGGGTTGACGCTCTTTGGCATGGTGGTGGGCCTCTTCATCGGAGGTGCCTACATCATCATCTCCAATCGGTGGTACAATGAGAAGCTTGACGCAAACGGGGGCGTACCTGTTCCGGAATGGCGACTGCCGCCGGTGGTCATCGGCGGCGTGCTCTTTGCGGGCGGGTTGTTCTGGTTCGGCTGGACCGGATTCACCAGCGATATCCCTTGGATTGTTCCCACGCTGAGCGGACTCTTCACGGGGTTCGGGCTGCTTATCATCTTCATCCAGCTCTTCAACTATCTCATCGATACCTATCTCATGTTGTAAGTTGATTGGTCTCCTATTGAGGCTCGCCCAACATCTCAAATCCGTTACTAATATGATGCAATCACAGTGCGGCATCCGCCATCGCAGCGAACACCTTCTGCCGGTCGCTGGTCGCGTCGAGCTTTCCTCTTTTCTCTCGTCAGATGTTCACCCACATGGGGATTCAGTGGGCGGCTACGCTGCTGGGCTGCGTCGCTGCAGTGCTGGTGCCGATTCCCATATGCTTTTTGCTATTTGGGAAGAAGCTACGCCGGCGAAGCAAATTTGCGCCTCTTTGTGAGAAGATCGAGGAACCACCGCATGAGGAAGGGGATAACTCTTTGCAGCAGCCAGTCGAGAAGTAGACTTCGTCCTTCTAGTCGAGACTCAAGAGATGGGGTTTCCTCTTGCCAAGAGCCATGTATGAAATGGGCAGTCAAAAAGTTTATAATAGCATTACATAATAACAGCGAGCATAGCTAACTAGATAGAGCCAAAGAATGCCTGAAATTCTAACGACCAGCAAGTCACGAGCTGACACCATGTATTCAATCTGGTAAACGAAACCACCTAAGGATAGTGGGGAAAAGGTCCAACAATGTATCCATGGATGCTGACGGGCATCCACACGTGGATGGAGCATGTGGATATCCCGGAACAAACAAGGAAAACTCGGCAGTTGTGGTCTCAAGATCTGCCGACAGCACGTGCGCAGAAAGATTTGTGAAGATGCATAACCGGCATACCGTTGGACAATCCAAGTTTGACTTCAGTTTTTCATTTTGTTACAATTAAAGTCCATAATCCCAATTTCTTCATTTGCAGCTTGACTGGGATAAGCCATTTCGTGCCTATGTACTTTCCATTTGGGATTCACCGGTATATGCTCCGTAGATAAACAGCTTATATTTATATCATGCTCGGCGCCAACGCTGACACTGAAATTGGAATTTCCAGAGGCAAACCGCGGTCAGATCTCGACCATCTTTGCTCGGAAAGTTAAACATCTGATTAGTACTAGGGAAGGAATCCAATAAAAATCAACTACATAGGGCATCCACTAGTTGACAGTGTGATGACCGTGCGAGGAGCCAAACTTCGACCTATATTGGCAACTGTCGATATTGGATAGACCGAAGCTGTTACAAGGAGGCATATAAGGCTGCGCATAGCAGGCTAATCCATTAATTGAGTATTCAGGGTGTCTCATAAGACTTCTTCATGCTTTACCCAGTGAGAAGAAACCTCTTGTTGTACTCGAGTCTTCTGAATGACAGTTTCAAACTCCACTATCCAGGCGTGATCAGTACCTACGGCGTATTACTTTTTCCCGACTACTGTTTAGGGTGGGGTAGTATAGCTTGGCCTGTCATTCGGCTATATCACGATCAAGACATCAATGTCAAACAAGTAGCCAAGACGGATGCTTATACTTTGGGTGGGGATATCTTGGTTTGGCCGGGTGTGATTCGTTGCATTCATCGGTTTTTTATGTCCTCGGATCCACAAGACAGTGTCTTCCCCATCGTTAGTGGAACCGACCAGCTCGGATACGACGGATGGTAGAGACTAAAATGCGAGGGCGCAAGATTGGGGACTGACAGTCCCATGACATCCAGCTCCAGCTGATTTGTCTTACAGAGTAAGTCTTTCGTCCCTTGCTGTGTGCATGGGATGCAGTATTCGTTCTACAGAACGGCCGGCTGAGTTCCCTACCTGCAAGAGATGAACGAGAATGTCTCCGGTTGCGACCAAAAAGGCCGGATGGCCACAACCCAGACCTCGATGCCTCGACTGACTATACCCATCTGGTCGAATCGAAGGCCAGCAGGGTGGGACCCATTCCCGACATCTGATCGGGAATGCAAGGCACACTGGACTCGAGATAAACAGGACGGAGGATACAAGCCGGCGCGGCAAGCGCAATCCCGTGTCCATTCCAGGAACATAATTACAGCTACAGACAAAAAGACGCCAGGCGTGGGAGGAGAAAGAACAATTGTCCAGTATGGTGGGCAGAGAACGTGCATTGAAGCAGGCATAACAGTGGCCGATTTCCATCCCTTCAAGCTAGATCTGCCAACCAGTCAATCAATGCTCTCTTCCAGATACCCTGTCAGCCTGAATCGAGTATATCGAAGAATGTCGGTGCCTCGCCGAAGATCGGAGGCCGATAAGCCTTGTCATCGAATCAAGAGCGGTTTCCGGGGCGGGTGCTTAGAGAAACGCCAAGGCGAGGCTCTGAGGCTGTGTTGATTTGTGTTAAGTGGTCTTGCTGCTTCTCCGTGTCTGCTCGACCAATTTTCTTCTCATCGTCAACAACAGCACCTAAATCATGTCGTCCTGGTTCCCCACCGAGTATGACGAAGACTACCAGCGGGAGACCCTCTGGCTGAGAGCTGGAGCGCTTTGTTGCAGCTCTCTGGGCTTAATACTACTGGTGACGCGCCATGTCCACCCATTCACCCTCCTGGTATGACAAAACCGTTCGGTGCGCAAACTATGATGATCGCAAAAGGCTGATGGAATATCGATCCGATATAGTTTGCCCTCCCGGTAGTCTGGTCAGTAGCCGACGGCAGGCTGCTCGGGCAAGGACGTGCCGCCCATACCCTCGTTTATGTTCTTCTCGATTTCCTCTGCGCTCTTTTCTTCGTCTGGAACATTCCCGTGACGGTACTTGCTGGCGTGGTACAGTGGAGTTTTATTACCATCGTCATGGCCATGTTTTTCTCCGCCGCTGTGTACGGCATTTCTCTCCCCGTCTGAGTATCAATACCGGCACTGACAAGGACTTACGATAGATTCCTCCATGGTCTAATCTTCCTCCGCGCGACCGTGAGGCTGTTGGAAGAGTCACGATTATTCGGTCGTGGTAACGGTGTTCAGCTTCCGACCTAAAAACCACTCGTTATGATGATGGCATGGTGGTGGGGCCCATCCGCGGAGCTCGGACAACTATCCAACGGCTGGAACGGGCTTCCACAGTTGGACAAGAACTGGATACCCCAGACGGGGGAACCAGTTAAATGCAAAGACTTGCTCTGTGAACTTTGTCTCGAACGCGGGAATGTCCCTTCCCACCCGGCTGTTTGTGCCGTGGTGTTGTCGGACCTGGATCGGCCTCGTTTGGAAGAGAACTCGGTGTTGTGACGATCACGGTTATTGTATACTCCTAGATACACAAAACCCCACACCAGTGGATGATTTACCCGGGGACCATCCTGATGGTTCAAATGGTTGTAATGCTCACCGGGGGTGTGGTGTTTGCGTGATTGACATAGACTGCCAATGGACGGATTGAGCGATGAGTGATGGATGGCGGCCACTCACGTGCTCGGGCCGTCGGGCCTTCTGTAAACTCCGATGTTCTTTCATCGTCTCCTGATCGAACTCCCTCTTCACTTCTCAACATCCCATCGCCTCCCTTCCCCGTATCATCATTTCACCCATTTCCATAATTAGTGTGACTGTTCTATCAGACTCACTGCCTCAAGCCGGTTTCCTGATTGAGTCTTCTCTACGCGGTGGGAAAAAGATGAAACATCGTTAAAACATGTTGGTATTGACAATCTATTTACATCACTTCGTACCTTAACTGATCCTCATGAATGTAGGATCGCAAGGGGTTGAGGTGCATCGTGGTCTCATCGACCGGATACTAATGCGGATGCGGGAACGGGATACGTGCGCCCTGGGCCTCCTCCGCCGGCCAGCCCTGGAGCGTGAGGCCGTCGTCGACATGATCGCCCGATAATACCAGGGTGTGTTCGAGAAGACAGGCGTCAGAGCCCATGCTCGCGGCCGATAGCAGTCGAGTACCAGACCGCATGACACTCCGATCGCCCACGCTCAGGGGGTGCAGTTCGAAGTCGCCGCGCGAGTTCAGATGCGCAACCAAGCTGGCATCGTCCACGGCCACCCGGTCACCGAGGGTCAGCAGATCCGGCTCCGTGATGGGGAGACTGGGGTTCCCGTTGGCGTGAATGGCACAGTCGCGTCCGATGTTGGCTCCTAAGGCACGCAGGTAGATGACGAGCCAGTGGGTGCCGGTCAGGAGGCCCAAGACTCCGCTGCGCCCGTAGCATTTCTTGATCAACCGCTCCACCGCCAGGTAGGCCTGCCACCGCTGGTTGTAACTGCTGCGGTCCCAGTGGTATTCGCCTTCCTGACGACGTCCCATGATCGCCCATTTGCCCGCGATCACAACGACCATGGCGATCACGGCCTGGACGATACTCGTGGCCGCCATGCCAATCCCAAGGATGCCAAAGACCGCGGCCGGCCGCCAGCGGGCGTCCGCGGTGCCCACCAGTTTGGACTCCAGGGTGTGCGCCAGGATCACGAGACTCGTGACGGTGCCAAGAGTCCAGTAGACCGCGATCGAGCCGATGGAGAAGACCGAGTAGCACATGATTTCGAACTGAGAGAGGACGTAATAGTCGGCCTCACCGTCGTAAAAGGCACGCCCGAACGGCGATTTGGTAGGCTTTTCGTCCGTGACATCACCAGCGCGGGGGATCTGGAACGATTCGCCCTTCTTGCTGCCCACCCAGATGGTGCCGGGCGCATAGTATTGGTTGCGGCGCATCAAGGCCCCGGAACCGACCATGACGCGCTCGCCGATGTCCGTTCCGGGCAGGAGAACCGTGCGGTCCGCCACCATGGTGCCGTCGCCGATTCGGATGCGATCCTGCCCGTACCCATCTGCCGTGACCATGAACGAGCGCGATCCGAAGACGACGTCGTTGCCAACCTCGAACAGGTCTAAATCACCGACCGAGGGCCCGTTGCTGGGCCAGTAGATGCGCTTGCCGACCTTGGCCCCGAGGGCCCGCATCAAGATGGACACGCCCTCGTAGTGCACCCCGAATAGCTGGGTGACCCACTGCAGACTGCCGGAGGGAAGAAGCCTCTTCATCATCCCGCGACGGACCCGTTGGCGTTGGGACTCGCTCGCCGTGGGACCGGGTTGAGGACGCCCGCAGATGGTGTTGAACACCTTCCGAAGGATGATGACGCACATGAGGGCGAAGAGGGGGGCACCGAGGGTGTTGGAAACACGAGCCACAATATGATAGGAGATTCGACTCGGGCTGGCGTACCACGTCGCGGACTGGAGCACCACATCCCCGCCCGGGGCAGGATAGTTGCGGGCGATGGGGATGATACCAAATGCCCACGGGACGCGGCGGATGATAGTGACAATGAACGCGATGGGTTCGATGACGAACATCGTCCAGAACCAGTGGCATTCGGGTAGGGGGGTCGGGGGCGAGTCGGCGGTCTTCTCGTTCGGCTTGGGGATCTCCCAGCTGGAGGAGTTGGGTCCTAGCTGGGTGTACGCGGGCAGGTCGGCGCCGGGGGCAAGGATGCTCTTGAGGCCGACAGTGCTGTGGGGACCGACCCGGATCCTGCCTAGGAGCATACTGGTGTTGGCCTCGACGGCGAACGGACGGATGATACACTGCGCCACTCTCACCCCGTCGCCCAATTCGATCAAGTCGTGTTCACCCAAGGATGCCTTCTCGTCGATCTCTACGTTCCGTCCGATCTTGGCGCCCAAGCAACGGTAGTAGAGAAGCCGGGACCAATTCCAGTAGCTGAAAATTCCCTGTGGTTTTCCAGAATTAGCATCATTCGCGGACACGGAGGAGAATTGGGAGGCGGGGGTGCGCGATTTGCTCGCCTACCTTTCCACCAACTTGGACGGCCTTTTGCGCCAACCACCAGCGAGTATGATAGAGTCCCCACATCGGGTAGAGGCCCTGTTGGTACCGCCCGATCAGGAGCCATTTAATCATGATGGCACCGATCGGACCTGCGATTTCGGTCGCCAATTTGGAACCGGCGCCAACGAGACCAATATGGATAACGCGAACGGCCACAGAGTCTTTGAGGCATTCCAGGTCCTTGGTCTCCGAGATTAGGTAAATGAAGGTCGTCCACAGGAGGGCGTGTTTGAGAGGGAAGAAAAACATGATTGGAATCAGCTGCACCATTAGCAGGAAGGGGTTGGTCGAGCTGTGGGTTTTGTTGACCTGCGGTGGTCTGACGCCGGCGTCCTCGCCGTTGCTGTTCTGCTTCTTCGCCAGCTGAGCCTCGACAATCTCTGTGATCGCATCCACGGTGCCACTGGTGAGCAGGGTATCGACCGACAGGCGGATCTTGAATTCCGCACGGAGGTCGCCAGCCAGTCGACCGGCACGTAGACTGTCACCGCCGGCCTCAAAGAAATCCATCGAATCGATCACTTCGCCGGGGGCGCACTGCAAGACAGCGGCGAACTTGCTGCGCACTCGCCCCTTGATTGAGCCGCCGGAGAGCTTGGCCTCGGCCTCCGCCAGTGACTTGTCGACGGCACTCTCATCTACCTCGCCGGTGACTGGGTTGACGGGCATTGGGCTGTCGATGCATCGAATGCTGGTTGGGATCTCGTATCCCGGGACACGCACGCGAAGGTATGCGACCAGCGCCTGTGTATCGAACGTGTCGGATTTCTGGTTGAAGACGATAACCTGGAAGAGGCCATCGATGGGGTTCTCTCGAATGACGACCTCTGGCTGTCCGCTGAAGGCCTTCACTTGAGAGGTAACCTCGTCCCGGCGCAGCACACATGGCTGCTTGGCGATCGGTTCCGTCAACGGCCGGTTGAGTGGTGGGGGACCTGTCTCGGTGTAGCGATCTGGACCTCGCATGGTGTCGGAGAGTGTTACTAAGTTTAGCCGCTCGCTGAGTTTGATGCGCTGGGGTTTGTTCTGGTTCAAGGGAATCCCGCCCTCCATGTAGACGATGCATTGCGGGAACTGAACCCTCTCGAGGCGTCCGTGAAGTCCCTCATGGAGCTGTCTCAAGTCCGGTCGAATAGCGTCGGGAGTCAGCACTAGCGCGACGCCGACGGTCTCCTGGAGTGTGTCGTGGGGCACCGAGAAAGACAAAACCTGGCTCACACGGTGGTAAAGGACGTTGTTGGGATCAGTAGAGGCCGATAGAATGGCCTCGTCGATTTCGGCGGGGGAGATGATTTCACCGCCTCGGTTGATGACCTCCTTGCTGCGCCCCGTGATGTACAGGTATCCATCATCGTCCATGAAACCAAGGTCGCCGGTCTCAAACCACCCATTTTCATCGAATGCGCTCCGATCGAGCCCCTCTGGTTTCAAGTATCCTGGAATGACGGGCGAGCCTCGCAGGCATATTCGTCCCGTCGTCCCTCTTGGAGATTCCACGGATCTCCCATCCATGCTCAAGATGGCCAACTCGGGTCCGGTTGCCTGGCCCGATGATCCTGGTCGCTCTAGGCGGTAGCTCAAGGGGGCACTAGAAACCGGCATACATTCTGTGAGACCATAACTCGGCAGAACGGTGCATTTGAAGGTCTCGAGTAAACGAGTGGCTAACGTCGGGGGTAGGTTGGCCGCCGCATTGCAGATCACCCGAATGGCGGAATTCCGCAAAGCATTCGGACGACTTTCCAGCTCCTGCAGAATAAGGTGGTGCATAGTGGGCACTCCGTAATACCACGTGACTGGCCAACTCTCGATCACGTCGACGACGAGGGTTGGATCGAACGCCGGGCAGCAGACCACAAAGCCACCTGCAAAGATGTTTGAACACAAGCTTCGGAAGAAACCACCACTGTGGGGAGGGCAGCATTAGTAATCTCTCGCGTCAACGGGCCATGGCTGGGGTTTCTTACACGTGGTGTAGCGGCATAACGTTCAAACCGCCGTCGTCCTCCGTCAGCTCAAATGCATCCATGATCCACACAGCCCGAGCGATGTAATCATCCTTTGGAATGGGGACGAGCTTCTTGTTACCACTGCTACCACTGGTGAATAACATCAGGGCGACATCATCGGGCGAGTTGACCTTGGGGGGGTATGACTGTCGTTGATCAAGGGGGCCACAGTTCAGTGGGGTCATATCGAAAGTCAAATCGTCCCTCGGTTGGACGCTAATGATTCGGATTCCTGCCTCATCCACCCAAGGGTCTTGAAGTTGGAGCTTGGGGATGTCCTCGGCCAGCGCAAGGACTGTCCCGATCTCAGCTCTAGTGATATCCTCTCGGAGCTGGACTGGCCCCGCAGCGGGCGTCATGGCCATCAGGGTATAGTAGTTCGACACGGCCAGATTAGCCAGCGCGAGGACTGGTCCATTGGGCAAGACCACGGCCACGCGGCGGTTGGAACATGATGGGTGGTCGAGGCCAATGTCGAACTGCTGTACGAACCTTGCCAGTGTCGCGTGGGACA